ACACCTTACTTCTGTATCTCCCTCATTAGGCTGTAGAATTTTTGATAGTTTTCTTGATACTGCAAGACTTAACACTTTTATGAACAATTTGGAGATCAAATTTGGTATGAGAAGTACCATCTTTGACCTGATCAAACTAAGTAGACTATCCAAAAACAGTTTGGAAAACATATATTATAAAAACAATTGTTTTTATTTTTTTATTTTTTTTAAGATTTTATTTATTTATTCATAGAGACAGAGAGAGAGAGGCAGAGGCACAGGCAGAGGGAGAAGCAGGCATCATACAGAGAGCCTGACGTGGGCCTCGATCCAGGGTCCCCAGGATCACGCCCTGGGCTGCAGGCGGCACTGAACCGCTGCGCCACCGGGGCTGCCCAAAAACAATTGTTTTTAAAAAACTAGGTTTAATATAATAAAATATCACTAATCAAAATAAAACCAGACAACGAACAGACTCCCACCTACCCAAATACAGAGAAAGGTATTGTTTTACAAAGTTATACTGGTTGCAGTTATAATCTGAGATGAGGGTTCCATGAGCACATACTGTATGATATTATATCAGAAATTTTACTACATATTAAACAAGTCAATAAGGATAACAATTTTTGTACCTATTAGCTCCATGTTTTTCTTTTCCAATCTTAAAATTCTCTAGTTTTCCCTTATACAAGTTTTAAAAATAGCCCATTCTCACTGTGGTGCATGTGTGTATGTGTGTAATAAAAACTGTTCAGAATCTTAAGTGCATTTTTCTTTGACTTCCCATTGAATCTCTTCTTTATTAAAATGTTATGAATAGCACTTAAAGCTTATTTCTCTTAAAATGTTCTGTAACAGACACTACAAAAGCATAAAAACCAGTAGAAAAATATAAAATCAAATTATTAAATATTAAATTAAAAATAAGATTATTTAATATTAATATTTAAATATTTAACCTATGAGAAAGAGGGAAACACAGCATGTGTACCTACCACTAAGCAAAAATAAGACAGCTAGTAGGGAAGAAGTAGTGAGCTACCCTATGAGTCTCCCAGTGGCAAGTCTGGCCTAGTAGGTAGGGCCTTTCTGTTTGGAGAGGCTGTGGCATAAGTGGTATAAAGACTATATAATAACAGCAAGAAAATGGTCTCAACATTGCATGCCAGACACATTTCCAAGTATTTCATATGAATTGACTAATTCAATTACCACAACTCTGTATGATAGATAGTATTATTATCATCCAAGCACAGAGGTTAAGGAGATCACCACAGAGTAGTGAATCCAGGTTGGAAATCTGTAGGCTGAGGCCAGAGCCCAAGTTCTTACTTGTTTTATACCGCCATCAGATGCATCAGTGCATCTGTAATTATGATATTCGTAACTCAGGGAATGCATGTACTAATATTCCAACACAGCAATGATACTGCTTCTTGTGCCATGTTTTAAAATAAATCGGTGGTTCAGTGGGCAGTAAGACAAGCAAATAACAACCACAACAAAAAATTTCTTGCAGGATAGAATGCTATTTCTTCTCTGCATTAAGAACTAACCCATGTAAAGAATCCAGCACACAAAAAGGAGGTAATATAACTTAATTTTTTTTGTCATAGCATAAGAGGTCAAGGATCATGTGTATTTTGGGGTACATGTTTAGTGCTGAAGAATCCTTCCTGAAGATCTATGTTCATTGACTAGCTAAATAACTAACAATTCAGGTAACAAGAACATCTTGCATCTGCACTTTGTGGTCCCTTTCCTATCTCAAACTAGGAAGGAGGCTTTTGGATAGAAGTTAATCAGTTCATCTCACAAATTCTAAAAACAAAACAAACAAAAAAACAACTTTTTTTTTCTTTCCCAGCTATATTTTATATTCGTAAAATAATATAATATAAATATTTTAATGTTTTAATATGCCTTTGTCATAAATTTCAGATGTTACCATTTTATAATGTAGTAACCTACAAAGCTTCCAAAATGAAATGTTGTTGTTATAAATTCAGTGGAATTTTGATGAAATACTCACTATATTACTGATTGCTTTATAAATAAGACTATCCTTTAACTAGGTTCTCTTGGTACTTCAGAAAATAATTAAAACCCCCAAGACATGGTAAAAAAAAAAAAGCAAAATAAATTCCAGATGAATCATAGAATTATGTGTAGAAAAAAATAAATTGCATTACAGAAAACCAGTAGAGAATCTATTTGAATATTTACACAAGTTCTAGAGAGTCTTAAACTGAGACCTTACTTGGAAAAGAAAAATCATAAAAGGGAAGACTAACAGACAATTAAGAACAGTTATCCTGTGTTAAAATATAACAAACAGCATTAGAAGGAAAATAACAAATTAAGTAAAATTAATGACCTTATTTTCAGCAACATTTTTTACAGCAATATTATTCAGTGAGGATGTAGTCAGATGGACATTCTAACAGGGGTGGTAGAAATATCAATAGGTATAATTTTTTTGTGAAAGGAATGTGACAACATGTATTAGAAGTCTTAAAAATGTTCAGTTAAACTCAACGGGAGAAGTAAACCTTGATTCAAAATTCTTATTAAGTCTCTGATCTTACAACAGTCCCCACAGTCTCTTTTTGAAGATGAGTAAGATGAAGCAGCTGATGGATCTGGGGAATGACAGTTATAGATCAATGTGACAGTCCTCAATCCATTAGAGTATTTTTTACTTTTTTTTTTTAAGATTTTATTTATATATTCATGAGAGACAGAAAGAAAGACAGAGACACATGCAGAGGGAGAAGCAGGTTCTTCACAGGGAGCCCAGTGCAGGACTTGATCTCAGAATCCCGGGATCATGCCCTGAGCCAAAGACAGACCGCTGAGCCACCCAGGCATCCCTATTTTTTACCTTTTTTATGTATGAATATTTTATAATTTTATTTGAAAATAATCCCTTCAACTGTTCTTTTCTTTTCCCACTGTTACAACATTACTTCAGGATCTCCTTACCTTACAATGATCAATTCAGTGACTGGTTTTCCCCACACTCAACTTTGCATCTCTTCACTTAACCTTTCTGCCAGATTAATTTTCCTGATGCACAGTTCTAAGGAGCTGTAGGACTCAAAGGCCTTCTTTGATCATCCCTCACCCATCATCCACAGGAAGAAAGGACAGAAGGGGACCCAAAAAGAGTTTGAGAAACCTAGAATGAGCCAAGTATTTGACAAATATCACCACCCAGTAAAACAGATGTTGTGCTGGTATTCCTACTTTCCAGGCGAGGCAGCAGAAAAGCAGTGTAGGAAATGCATTGGTAACAGGGCAGATGTCAAGTTCGAACCCACATTTGTCACTATTACCATTATGCTCTGTAGTCTCTTAGCCCAGCTATCAGAGTCAACAAGGCATTTTGGTCAGGCAACAAACTTTCCCCTAAATCTGTCTAATGTCCAGACGTTTTCAAGTACTGTTTTTTTTTTTTTACTTCATCTTATTCTCTATGCCTAGACCTCCACAGTAGTTAAACTTTTATTTATGCATACATCTCGAATCTCAAATGTCATTGCTACCTTCCTACTAAACAACTATTAAACAATTATTGAATAGCCTCAAATAGGTACGATCTCTGCTTCATCTGAATTCCTATGGCACTTAATTAAATCAAGTTACTGATCAGGTCATGGCTTCATATAAACTTCCTAAGCATCTGCTCTATGCCAGGAATTGCAATGCATCCTGGGAAATAATAATAAATATACGTGATCATTCTCTTTGAATGTGCCAGTTACACTGCTTTAGGGCACTCACAACAGGCTTGCTGGCATTACAGTTTCGCTTAAGTACCTCATGGGCTCTTCCAGGTTGTTAGCAGTTGTGACACAGATCCTTTGGGCATTTAACATCGCTTGGCACGCAACAGGAACTTAGAAAATATTTGCTAAATGACTGAATGACGAACCCTGCCGTACATTCTCACATTTTGAATTCTATCTTGTTAAGTGTTTTATAATGGACCCCCAGACTGAGCTGGGTGCCCTTCCTCGTGGTCTTTCCAGCACTCTCATTTTGTTATCTATTTCGATGCTGAAACAGAAGACCAGAAAAGGGATGTTGCTGGGCTGGATGGCACACTGCTTTTAACTAACAAAAGTGGAAGCTGAAGGCAAGGCAGAAGAGAATGGATTTTACGGATTATATTATACTGCCTCTCAACTCAATGACTTGTTCAGTACTTCAATAAACACAAAGGAAGTTTATTGATGTACCCAAATCTTTTCTATATTGGATCCCAATGTGTATTTTATTATTTTTTTCCAATGTGTATTTTAATGTTATTTAGAATATGACAGAGATAGCCAATCTGCTTTATAATTTCATCATTAAATACAACTCATTATAAATTGAAGTTATATTTGAAAATAAAACTCCTTCACCAAAATAAGTCCTGCAACATCCACATTCTACCCAGCCAATCTCATTTTCCTATGCATTATAGAAATAGAGATTTTATAGTTTATGTATTTAATGATTACAGAAAAAGAAAAGGGCATTAAGTAGAATAAACAGCTTATATAAAGGCACACTGTATCCCCTTGGAAACAGAAATTGCTGAAGATATATTTAACAGGAGTTTATAAATGCCCTATTCCTACTACTAACTCTGAAGTTTACTTTTCATGAATTTTATATTATATTTTGACTGTATATGCTACCTCAATCATGGCTATAGTAGTTTAAACATGTTTATAAAACTTAAGCTCATTTAAATAAAATATTTTAAAAACTGAAATGAATTATCTCTTAATTGAAAATTAAGCATGGAATTCTCAAATTATGTTATTATTAAAAAGAAAATAAATTAAAGTTTCATGAGCTGTTTACCATTTTTAAAACCCTTAATATGTAAACTCAGTTTGAAACTATGAACAGGTCAAGCGATATACGAGTGTTTCTAAATAATATTTCAAGTAAATTTCAATGTACAGAAATATATAAGAGTGAAAGAAATTTAAATCACCAACATTTAAAGGTCTTACCTACTAATATCCTATTCTTCTTGATGCCACTTTTTACTTCATCATCAATCAAATCTGTAAGCACTTGACACATTACATTGATTGATTCAAGGTGTTCTGGACAGTCATTAGATATTTTAAGTCTGTCAAACCATACATTGGAGATTCCTCCTTTCATAGGAGTATATGGCCTGTTTAAAACCAAACCAAACCAAAACAAAACAAAAAAAGAAGAAAATAAAGGAAAAGGGAATGTTATTAAAATGGATCTTTCAATTTCAAATTCAAACACTAGTGTGTTGAACAATTTCAATTTCCTCTAAGTTTTATAAGTTAAAGAGTTCATATTAAAAGCAGCTTCATGCATATTGCATTAACTTGCCTATACTTACACTGATCCCATCAACATTTCCTAAGGCCGACTCATCATCTTTTCCTTATTCTGTCCATCTTCTCAGATTCATAAATTCTCCAGAGAATCCCCATGAGAAAGAGAATATATATATATATATATATGTATGTATTTATATATGTGTGATTTATATATAATGTGCATATGTGTATTTTTTTCTGTTCAATTTAAATGACTACTTGATCAAGTCTACCATTTTTTATTTCAATTTCTGTTTTGATTTACTTTAGTCCCTTCCCTCCCTTTAATGTAGGATCAATATTTTAGTATTCAGAGCCACGTGAATAATGTTTGTCCCTGCAAAAAGTTTAATATCTCAAGAGTGGAAAAAAATGATTCGCCAAAATGCTTTTAAAATGTGGCTAATTTGTAGCACTTAAGTATGAAAAGATGAGTTAATGATTTAAGAGCTTTCTAAAACACACCCAGATCATCCTTAGAATGCGGGCTTGATTTTTTTTAATCAAGAGTTGGAACTTCTATTTTTTTGGTCTCCTCTGGAACCTCGAAATGAGAATTTAATGGGGTACAAATCATCTTTGGAAATCCTCATCTTAAAGATATTCCATACTGTTTGCATCATTTGGGTCTCAAATCAGGTGCCTCCTTGAACTTATGTTTTATGTGGTAAGATGCTCTGAACTTGGTGCTCTGTTGAACAAAACTGATCTTACAAGATGCTCTATATTTACATATGAGGTGGAATGGTTATAGTATTAGTAAATCTTATTCAATGTATATTTCTACTCTGGAATTCTCTGCTAAAGTGAGTGAGTGTGTGTGTATGACAAGGTATTCTAAATGTACTGTTTTCAACAATTACAATGGGGCTAAAGGTTCTTGTGTTCGTGTCCTATGTTGGTAAAGGTATATAAATGAAGGGGAAGGAAAACAATCTTAGACGTTCTCGTAAGCAAACACAGAGGTATAGCAGGATATAGAAGATAAACATGGAGAATGAAGGTTTTCCAAAGATGAAGGATAGTATGGTACAAAGAAACTTTTCCACATGGAAATCTGTGCTTTTCCCTTCCATGATAGTGAAAATAGGATTTATGTCTAATGCAAGAAGGTCCTAGAAAACACAACCAGTGCTAAAAGTACCCATCATAACTTCAAAGAAATCTAAACCAGTGATGACCGCAGATGTAGAATTCCTCCTACATTTACTACCTTGCCCATGTCAGAGTTAGTTGTAGATTCTCGCCCTCCAAAGTCAGTGAAATAAAAGTATGAAATATGTACAGGTGTTGGGGGGGGGGGGAAGGGCTGAAAGATACCAACAGAGACCTGACAGTGCTTCCCCATATGTTCTCTAGTGAAAAACCAAGTAGAATCTCCACAAATCTAAAGAGCTAGGAATAGTCAATTATCATTCTTTCATCCACTGTTTCAAAAGGACTCTACAATCTGCACAGATCTGCCCTTGGGACCAACAGGAAAACTCATTTTTCTGTATAGATCATACCACTCCAGAATAAATGGAAATCCACTTTCGGTGCTTGGAAATCAAGAGGATTGTATTTGGAGAGTTTCTCAGGGAAACTGAAAGCAGTCTGAAAACAACACCTCACCTACAGAGGATCTTGTTTATTTACTAAATTAGAAGAATGTCATAAACATTACTTTGTAACATCTTTCTAAACTCTGAACATATATTTTAAATATCCCTGTTAAGATAGAACAAAAACCTAAATTTTCTTCTAGCTTATGAGATACATGGTATCTTGCAAAGATGAGAAATTCTGTGTGCTGTTTTGGTGTTTTTTGAACAAATCTTCTTCAGTGCACCACTCCTCTTCTTTACTGCTGCTTTATCCTTCCACTCCTCTTACACCCCAACCTTTATGCTAGGCAAACCATGTTTAGGATCTAGAATATATATCCTTGAATGTTTTTTGTTTTGTTTTGTGCACATACAGTAAAACATGCATCTTTATAGAATATTTTTTTCAGAGCACTATTTGCTTTTCAAAAATGCAATGGTCTATTTGCTTTTCTTACATGCATCATGCTTTTCTCCCTTAACAATAACTGATGGGTACTCTTCCACCTGATCGTTTGAACCCATCCTTTTAAATGGCTATCTAAAACCTTATGATAAAGATGTTTCACAGTTTCATCAGCCATTCCCATACTAATGGGCATTTATTTGGTTACACAGGTTTTAGCCACTAAGAACGGTGCTGCATTGAACATATTTGTGTACGTGTTTTTATGTACGGAGACTTTTATTCCCATGGAAAAGTCCAAGAAACAAGACTGCTGGGTTGAAATATATTTTTATCTTCTTAGATATTTCAAAGTTGCTACCATTTAGGCTATAAAAATTCAGTTTTGTGCAAGAAGAGAGAAAACTCTTTTGTCCACAGCCCCAACAACAGGTGTTCAGATCATTAAAAATATTAGCATTTAAGGGTAACAATTATATTTTAAATCAACTTTCCTGAAGTATAACTTACATACATTAAAGTACACATTTAAGTACATAGGTCCAAGACCTGCCAATGTAATCATCTCCACGACGAAACAGAACATCCTCTTAGAAAATTCCATTATGCCGCTTTGCCAGCAATTTCCACTTACTTCCCAGGTAACCATGGAGTGGTTTTTATTACTATAGATTACTGTTTACTGTTCTAGAACTCTACATAAATAGAATTACCTATTTGTATCATTTGCTGTTTTTTTTCTGTTTTTTTTTTCTCTTACTAGTTTAGAAGAAGACTTGGTTTATAATTGACCCTTAAATAGTAATCATTTATATTTCAAGTATTTTTAACATCTATTTTTTTACATATTGACATGACATATTTATAATGCCTTCTTAATAATTCAGATAAAGCCATTGCATTTGATATAATCTGTCCTTAAAAAAAAAAAGACAATAGGGCAGCCTTGGTGGCTCAGTGGTTTTTAGCATCGCGTTCAGTCCAGGGCGTGGCCCTGGAGACCCAGGATTGAGTCCCACGCCGGGCTCCCTGCATGGAGCCTGCTTTGCCCTCTGCCTGGTCTCTGCCTCTCTTTCTCTATGTTTCTCATGAATAAATAAATAAAATCTTTGAAAAAGATTGAAATTTCTAGATCTCCTGATCTCAGAGACTCTTCCTAATCCATACTTTTTTACACATGGAATTCAAAATTTTCTTCTAAGATTTTTGTTTTTTTAGATTTAAGTCTCGAGAGTTCCTGGAATTTTATTTCATACATGAAGTGCCATAAGGGTTCATTTTCTCCCATATGGATAGTTAACTGTGCCTGTACTATTACCAAAAGAAAAAAAAATCTTTCATAAAGGTGAAATTCCATCCTCACTACATATTTAATTTTATAGTTCTGAGTTATCTAGTCTCTCTCAACCTAGATTCTGTGGAAGAATGAAGTCCTGATGCCTAACACATACACTATATATAATAAATGGACTTCTCTCCAATGCATCTAGAATGATACTAGCTCTATATTATCCACGAGGAAATCAAGAAAACAATAATAAATCATTTCCTGAGCTCTGTGATTCAGGTGAAGAACTCTAGTTGAAAAAGGTTCTATTTTGTTCTACAGAAGTATTTATCCTTCTGTTAGATTCATACTGATTGTACTGAAGTGGCTTTAGAGTGTGTTCTAAAGTTGAGTAATATTAGTTACTCTCTCCCTATCAGCATCAAAACCAGTCTCTTTTTCAGACTTGTCCTGTTTATTCTCAGACATCCATCAGTTTCTATTTATCTAAGAAATTAATCACATATTTAGTAATTTAAAAATAATTTCAAAGAATTCTCCTTGACAGTCCTTGTGGAATTTTAATTAATACTGCATTATTGTCTGTGAATTAACATATAATGACAAAAAAGTGAGAGGAGGGAAGATTTTTGCAGATTGAGCTCTTCGTAGGATCTGCCACACTCATGGGGCTTCTCTTACATTGTTCTCCAGGCTTTCAAGGGGTCCATAGAAGATAAAATTCTGCATCAGATTTTTACTAGGACTCCACAGAACCTGCTTTCTCCCTCATTCCCGCAGGCCTTCTGACCTCAGAAGCTGCTTGGCTCAAGAGAGGTAAATAAATTGGAATCAGAAGGGGAGAGAACACAGAAAGCATTCAAGCTTCCCATCTCCCAGAATCACTTTCTCAGGATTAACTTTCTTAAAGTACTCTGAAAATGAAAGCAGGTGCTTTCCACTAGTATTAATGTCAGTGTCAGACAAAATGAAATCCCAAACTGCATGCAATTTGTCATCGAAATCACAATGTTCTGAATGAAAACTGAATATACAGCATTCACTTAAAAACTTGAATCAGACTGTTACTCTTTTAGATTTCTACTTCCCTCTTCTTCATTTTATTCTGCTATTTCTCTAAGTATTTATTTGTCTGTCTAAACACTTAAATAAGGATGATATCATAGGCTAAAATCTGAATCATTCTGGGAACTCAGCCATTAACAGAAAAAAATGACACTCACTTAACTTTTTGTCTTTGACAGTGCCTTACTTAATCAGTCATAGATACTCCACAGAGGTAGAATCCCGATGTAAATTTCACGAACACAGTAGTTTTTTGTTCCCTCAATTCTCTAAGAGAATTAGAATTTGTTCAAAGGAGATAATTGGGAAAATTTAATGAGACAAAGAATAATTTAGAACTTTTTTGTTAAGAAAACATAATCAAGAATGCAATATTCTCTTAATATGTTAGAATAATCTTTAAAGAACGCATAAAAATAAGACTGATTCTCAAAACAGCTAAACAAACTGGCACATATGCTATACTCATTCACC